TCATAAAACGTCGTATCCCTGAATTCGTTACGATTGTTCGAAAAATATGCGATATGGCTCAAATCCATCACAAAATTTTATGGACTCCATATTATATCTTGGTAACAGCGTATATAAATGCGGGATTTTTCCTATATACAAAATAGGTAGATCGTTGTTTGGAAACCTGAATGAAAGCGTAACAGCAGGTCGAGTCAAAACTTATTCAGTAATTCAAAAAGCTCTTTAAGATCTAACTGAATCCCCTCCAGAAGCAAAAAACTTAAATAGGGCGTAATTTTCTACCAAAAGAGCAAAACGACGAATATTTCGTGCATGCCTTCTATAAAATATGTTTAAATTGATAAGGTCATCGAAAATCAACGAGAAAAATGTATATTACCAAAGTGGTTCTTTTTACAGATTGTAGTCTCGCTGAAAGCCGACAAGCTCTGGCAACAGCCGTAATCCCAGCGTGACTTATATATCTTAGGAGTATGCTGTACTATAATTAGTATTACAGCCTTACTGAAGTAATCTTTTTGAGTCGAAAACACATTTCCGAATGTCGGTGAACACCTACTGCGTGCACGTTGTGCTGATTAAGATCGTGGTCGTCAGACTCGGGATACCGGGGCCGAGTATCCTGTCAGCGTCTAATGTCAAGGGTTCGCCTGCAACCAAGCAGTCCAGCTGGCATCCCACACGTTCACATTACTTGACCAGACCTGCGATCATCAACGCTGGTAAAAGCTGTAGATCGGGTCGCAGTACTTAAATCGGACGTTGTTCTGGTACCTTCGAGTTCAGACGTATCCCCAACAGTCGTTCCAGCTGCTTGTTCGAGTTTGCCTTCTCTGGTACCGTGACTCAAGTACCTACAGCAGGTGGTCCAGAGATGTAACGGGAGAAAAGTCAGTGTGTCATATATGCGTGTGGAACGCACAACGGTCTCATTACGATAGAGGCAATTTTGAATCCCCTCACAAAATTGGGCCCCCAAGTACTAGTTACTTCTTTTTTTCTGCTCCTTGAGGACAAACTCACAACAAACAATAAGGTTCATAAAACACAGACTGCCCAAATCGCTTAAAGTCCTGATTGCAGTCTAAATGATCGAGTGACATATAAGGTAGGTGAACAAACTCATGAAATGTCAACCGAAATCGTTTTCGTTTCGAAAAAATAAATTAAGTAGGGTTGTGACATTACTCAGCCTGCAACATAATTCTATAATATTTCGGTTACCTCAGGATGCCGGCTTTCGAATGAACTTCCTTCCGGCTGCATGCAGAAAATACACTCTGTAAAAAACGACCACTTATTAGCATAAATTTTTCTCATTGATTTTTGATGTCCCTAAGACCGATTATATTTCCTGGAAAAAATGCATCAAAATATTCATTCTTTTGCTCATTCGGTTGAAAATAACGTCTTCTTCTCATTTTATACTCGAAGGAGGGACATAATTCGGTTTTAAAAAAGTTTCTAATCGTGGAACTTTAAAATACCGTGAAATGACCGTTCATAAATCGTCATGTCTCTGCATTTACTAATGTGGCTTGTTGAGTTTACAATATGAATCAAATCCACAGTTAAATTTTACGAACCCTATATAGTCTCCTCTTAACACCGTAGAGAAATTTGTGGTTTCCCGAACGCGGAAAATTTACGGCTTGTAGTTTGGAAACCCCAAATCTAACTGTAACGGTAGAGTGGGTTTTAAATTATTCGGAAATTAAGAAAGTTTGTTAAAACCGAATTATGTCCCTCCTTCTAGTATACAATTAGAGGACGTACTTGTCGACTGAATGAGCAAAAGAATGAATATTCGAGTTTGCTTTCTCTGGTACCGTGGCTCAAGAGCCTAACTTCAAGTTAGCCGTGGTAGAGGAGCCTATTTGGTGACCCTTCACAGTCGCCGTCATCGAGAGTTGTAAGGCATCTGGCCTACCAGACCTTAGCCTCCCGGATTCTGGTAGCCAAAACATTCTCCAACGGCATATGAATCGATAGACCAAAACGCCAGCTCCGCTGCCTTTGGCGACGCCATAGTTCCCCCTGAGGGCACCCTTCCTTCATCTGAAGTTGCGGCCCCAAGCCAGCCAAGTGAACGCTGCGAGTTCTGTTTTCACATTTGTGTGTGACTCATACTAATGCTGTTTCACTCCCTATGAAAAAAACCAGGTCATCAAATTCAAAAGCAGTAGCACTGCTTTCATCGCGAGAAAACGGTTGCCGGAGCCTCAAACTTGTAAACAGTCAGAGAAATGCCGTCTGACAACCAACTACGAAATGCGTGATCACCATCTGGATAGAAGCAGTTGTCGCCTGGGTGTTCCCTGGAGGCCCCAGAAAACGAGAGCCGCATCCAAGGTGTGATCATGTTGAATTGGACGTTCGACTACATTGGTTGTCAGAACAATTTCAAAAAAGGCATCTCCTGCGCTGCGAGTTCTATCAGTCGCCCTCTGATGATACCAAGGGACGGAACTGCAGACAGGAAGCAACTATCAGGCGTCAGGTAGAGAGCGGAAGTCTATCTGCCGTGGCAATAAATGTCCAGAACTGTTTACCAGCTCTACCTCGGCCGTGGTTTGAGGAACAAGACAGACAATCTTCGACGCGAACGACCGAGCGCAGATCGGTTGTTAAGGCAGGGACGCTTAAGTTGCGATTCAGCGAAACCAAAATCCTCGTTGAGTTACTACTCTCTTGCTGTGTTTTGTCACAGTACTTTAACTCGCACGATGTTTACTCGGTTCCTGCTCAATGACTAGGCGCGCGGGGGCCGCAGGTGCATAAACGCCTCGGTTGACAGTGCCGGCGTGTCAGATGTCTGAGTAATTGTCGCACCGATCATCAATATCGCTTAGATCGTGGCGATGGCGGCAACTAGGCAATTGTGCCACCGAGTACAAACAGCTGTGTTGAATGTGTGTGCCCAAGTGGCATGTGCGCTCAGTGAGTACTTCGTCCTCTCAAGGATAGATTGGAAACGTCATAAGAGTGGAGGAGTTTCTGTCCAATCCAGAGTCATTCTCCGGGTACTTCCTGTCGGAAGTGACCTCATTTCGTCCGAGCAGTGAATATGTGAAATTGTTCTGTTCGACATTAGAATCGACGAAATTAGATAGCTATTTCTGCTCAGCCATCCCGAAAAAGAAAAACAGACACAAAACGACTATTGGGAACTTTGGACGAACCTCTCCGTGACGATGACGTAGAGTCGGCCTCATAGCACCTGTTAACAGGCAGGTAAGAGGGCGGAACAAGAAGCAGGTTACAGCAGTTGACCAAGTGGATGCCCACTCAGAAGGAGAGGGCGCCTGTTGGTGCGCCGACGACGGCCTACAACTCGATTCTTGCGCAACTTGACAATCAGGCATAGGAATACAGTAGTTCGATCAGCGTTACGCATCTCTAGGGAAACTAAACGTAGGCCATGCCGTGTGATCACGAATAAAGGAATGTCGGCAACAGCCGCTTTGTCGTCCAGATCTTACTCAGACAGGACGTTCAGGCATACCACCGCCGTTGATGCAGTTTCGACAGGCGAGAAAGCCAGGTCAACAGATCCAGTGGGTCCCCCCAACGACTAATCACGTACGCAGGCCAGCACTATCTCGCCAGTCAGGCTACAATGGAAGTAAGCCAATCCACAATGAGCGCGTACAAACACCCAAACAACCCCTCGGTGGACCTTGCTCTGAGGAATGAATCGCAGGGGTATAGTCATTATTATTCTCCCTTTTTGTGGTGCCATGCAGCCAAATACTTGAAATACTAGTCAATGCACCCGTACTAGGTACATCTCCTTATTGCTCTCAGCTTAGCGTCCTGCGACTCCTGATTTCCAGTATATGGAAGCTTTATAGCACCTCCTTCTCAATTCTTCAGTCGATCGGCCGACGGTGGTGGCAAGCAGGGTTGGATGTGAAAAAAGTACTCTATACGTAATCGGCTGAGCACGACACTAGCAAGGTATCCGGTGACCGGCTTCAGCACCGATATCCGTCCGTGTTTGCGTGTCTGACGGTGCCGATTATTAGCCTCTGCAAGGTCTTCCTGAGGCGGCCAACTCACGTGGGAAAAGAACGGCGCAAATCGACCCTTCCGCCTCCGGTTGGCATCTGCGCCCAGGGCTGCAAGCGTATTTGAGATAACCCCCACGAAAAGGCGACTCCCCTTACCTTCGACCACAACTAACATGTCAACCACCTTAGACAGCGACAGGTGCGTCCGTAGGGAGGATGCCGTGCACTGAAGGCGGGCCCGAACGGCCAATTACGTCCCCGTTTGGAGGGTACTGGTAAAAGAAAAAAAGTCGAGTCGAGCACAACACGCTTTGGGAGACCTGTTTTGTTCTCAAGTTATTTCAAAACAGGAAGTTCATCATGCACACTGAAGAGTGAAACAGCAACACGCAGTATTCGTCCGTGCGGTATAAGAGAAGGTACAAAATTGGCTGGTATGGGGCGTGGGTGGAGGGGGTGGCGGAGAAAAAGGCAAACATAATCGACGATTAGCAAAACACGCTCTGTCATACGGGACTGAGCACAAAATACACTCTCCGGACTCGGACCCAGTAAGAAGAAAACAGTCTTCGTCGTCTTTCGCGTGGGTTAAGAGGAAGAGGAGCGTGAGTACATCAGAGACACGCGGAAGCCGGTAGAGAGTGATAAATTAGTGGATAGGAATTATAAGACCTGCAAGACGTATGAGGCTGATGGCTTTATAGCGGGCGCGGACTAGGGCGTACGCATAGGCCATTCTTGAGAGGAGGGAGTTGAACGCGGTGAAGAAGGAGTGAGAGGCCGTGATCCAATTAATCAGAAGATCGAGTTTAAAGGCGAGTGGTAAAATGAAAGGATGCGGGGATAGAAAAGCTTGACACACACAGAGGGCGACGGAGACGGAGATAGGGGCAGGGGGAAGTAAAAATAGTGGTAACCCGACAGCGGGGTTGGGGCGATGAAGCAGGAAGAGAAAACGGGTGAGCCAGGGGGGGGGCGGGCGATTCACGGCTTCTTTACAACCTTGATGGCCCACTTGAACTTCACATGTTCGTTCTTGTCATCATCGATGAACTTGCTGGTCATTGAGTAAACACCACGACACATGTTGCCGGAGGGGGCCTCCTCTTCCCCAGACACCCACACGATTGGTTCCATGCGGGGCGCGTAACTGCCGAGCATCACATCGTCTTTCACTGCAAAAAGAAGGGGGCAGGCGGTAGTTAGGGGGGCGCAGCAAAAAAAAGGTCCGCGCAGTGGGTCACTCGTAGCCCGGCCACTAATAGACGCCTACCTAGCTAAGTGTGGTGAAGCTACAGGCAGAGAAAAGAAAGTCGAGTTTCATGGCATCTTTTCTTGCCAAAAGTGAGGATGAAAAAGGTGACACAGACACGACGGCATTGATAGCTGTCAGGGTTTACCAGGCTGCTAATTAAGCACCAGTTATAAGAGGCCTCCCGTGCGAGTATGAGAGCACTGTGACAACTGAACTGACGTCCGCGGTGCAGTGCGGTGGTTAGCATCGAGTGCATGAAATACACACGTACGGTGACAGAGCGAAAGTGTGGGGGTGGCGTTGGTTCGTGTGTACTAATCACGCCAGTTCACACTTGCAAATCGAAATTGAGGCCTAAACGTCGCTTCCATACTTCAAAAAAGCAGTTGAAGCTTCAAATGTGCGGCAACTCCGGGAAGAGACATAGCAGTACGGGTATGCAATGCTTTCTCAGGAGAATCGATCCCATTCTTCTGCCCATCTCGAAAGAAAGCAGGGAGTAGCGAGAAAATGAAATAATAAAATGTTCCTCATCTTGCAGGTGTTATATTCGACAGCTACGAGCACCAGTAAGTCTTCTGGTCACAAAGACAAAGAGCAAACAGTCTCCCCAGGCCCTGGGTCCACGGCAAAGGTGAAAGATACTCGCGTAGAAATGACCATGCGGCCACATGCATACAGCGGCCCATACACAATTGCCGCCCCTCGCTGGGGTTTCAACGCTCCACTGTTCGATCGTACTGGCAAAGCGGTGGAAATCAGGGTGTCCGACAGCCCTAATCGGAGTACTACAGCTGATGACAGCACCAGTCATTTCGTCTAATCACTCTGCATCCCTCCGTCTTCGCAAACCGTTGTTTCAAACCCCATGGAAGCACATTATGGCCCGGCGGCTGCGTGCAGGTGTTTCTGGGCATCCTCAGCGTTTTAAAAAAAAAACAACTTGGAGAACTCCTTAGCGGCGTATTTTACATGACCGAATGTGGATCCATGTGGTGGAATCACCACTGGGTCAGAGTTCAGGAGAGGCATTTGACCAACACTCGCATAAAGTGGCTGCTAAAACGAAGCATAGCAGTGGGACTGCAAACATACGTCGGGGAGTCATCCTGAGTATACATGGGAGGCAATACAACCGAAATTACTCCAGCTTCCTTGACCGTCCTACAGCAGGCAAACGAATGAGACAGACTTACACCACTGCAGGCACAGGTAGCGGCGAACGTTAAGGCGATTTCATGTTAAAATTAGTCATCTTCCAGAAAGTCTAGCCAGCTTTGGAGAGCCAGATACCAACTCCACAGCCTATTTTGCCGCAACACAAGTGCGCAGTCACTAATTAGGACGATTTGCAGACAGCAGGAGGTGTGATGTCCGTCGTAATTATCCCCCGGAATGCTTGTATAAGCAACTTTTGGCACGCTAAATTGCTTCGCCGCGTTTAAATACACCAAAAGTTTGCATACGCGCACATTCCACAGGCGCAATTATGCCAGCGCCCGTTGGCATTCCAAGAGCTTGCCAGAAGGAATGAAAAGAAGGCAGGCAGTGCTTCGACTGAGATATATGTCTGAACTGCGCTCGTGGAAACCTCGTCTCCGACATAGTTGGAGACGCAGGCATGGATACGCGCATGCGCAAATGGATGTAAGGGTATTCGGAAGCTAAGGGACATATTTTGACAATGCCATTTCCCCTACTATCATGTGCGAATTTATACGCGACAGGACCATGCCGAAAACTGTGTAGGCGGGCGGCGCTAGAGTGAAATCAGCAAGCCAGAGCCCCATACTTTACTGGCGTTTGTCTGCCAGCAGTCGGTATGACAGACTGAGAAGCCCTGCTGTTTTAGGTTAGGTTTACCGTGACTGAAGTTGGACGACGGCAAGTGGCAGGAGGTTTAGCCCGTTGGTATGCAAACCACAGGGCCAGAGAAGTACTCCAACTTGAAGTTGCAATTGAAGAAAAGTTGTTTTATGTGCGTTTGCCTGGGCCCAAGTTTCCTCTTTCATCCGCCCGCCTGGATGGATGGCAGAGCACACTGACGGGACAATGTCTGGTTTTAGACACTATCAATTCCTCTTTCAGGAGAAGGGTACACATGAAAGCAGGTTTATCTCTCCCTTGTCGCCGAACAGCGTTAACGAAAAGGGCGAAAAACCAAAGTGCGAGGTTATTGCGAGCGGATTCTATTATCGTACACATGCCGCAATCAGTTTCGAATTCCTGCAGATCTTCTTCAGTGGCAACTCCCTGGACCCGGTCTAAGGGTGTTTTCAGTGAAAAACGACTCTGATATATATTCGAGAGCACTCTAACGGGGTGCTTCCGAGTCCTCATCCACCGCTCACTCTGATAAGTTTGCAAGAGGTTTACAGTGACGATGAAAGCAACTGTTGATAACAAACAGGCGATATGCGTCGACGATGTTCAGCAGGTGTTCAGCACTAGTGTTGCGTCAGCCACCAAGACTGGAGCGCTCATTCAAGCGAATGTTGGTGGGCTCGTCTGGACCGAGTCGAACATTCCAGTCAACGGTGGCGATGAGGCGAGCTGCGAGCCGATGGCATCTTTACCGTACTGGCCGATGGTCGGTAGAGGATCGTGAGCGGGAACGACAGACGCGCCGGATAAAGCATCCTCTCGGCAAGTTAATCAGTTTTTAGAGCCAACCGTTGGTTCAATTGCCGTTTATTTTGTTAGTCCTCGTGGAGCAAACACGCATCTGCCAGAACTGCCCGACAAAGTAAGCAATCAGACTTCCCCGGGGATCTCAGCTTTCCGCGGACCTACATCTGGAATTCGGACTTCAGAGAGATTGAGGACACCCTCTCCGTTTCGAAGAACGCGCATTACAGGTATCTATATACCTTGAAAAAAGATAGCTGCGCACTCAATGATCCAGTAATTCCAAGCCTGTTCTGTTAGTTTTATTAACATGAAATACAGTGTCACTTTCCGACACGATATGAGATCATTCGGGAGACTTCGGGACGGAGGGCCCCTAAGATTACTCGTCTACTTGGTCCGTAGTTCAGGTTCCTGGAACCTATCCGCAAGGTAGCGGTGGCAGGCGCATCCAGTTACTGGCAGTTCGTAGTCGCCATTTTAAATGTGGCGTTCTTAGACTTCCCGATACTTCATAGGGTGATTAATGTGCATGACCACAAACTTTCTCGATGCGGTTTGTGACAACCTATTTGAGAGCTAGCCCCCCCTTCCCCCCCCTTATCATTCGTCACCAATGGACGCACCGGATATCCAGTGTCAAGTCAGGCAGCGAGTCGGGTCTTGTAGACAAGCAGGTAGTTTGGTTCGTGTAGGTCCCCTTGATAAACAAATAAAACAAATTCGGAGACACTGCTGCTTAAATCCGGAGGGGAAATTATGAGAGATGCCCTCAAACACACAATCTAGACTTGGCTACAGACGGTTTTGTGATGCAGACGACACTACAATACCATTCTGACAATGCATATTATAAATTTGTATGTGAATGCCCTGAGAAGCTGGCACTGCGAAGCTAAGGCGCAGCTGGTGCCTTTTTGTGTGTGCGCAGTTGATTAGCATTAGACCGATAGGCGTGCACAGGAGGCAAATTAGCCTGCACCTTGACAGCAGCAGCAGCAGCAGTGGAAGTGGCGATCAACGCAGATTCAAACACCTGTGCACCGCACAAGAGTGTGCACCAATCGCCGTCACCAGCCATCCCCTCAGTACGACCTCATTTCAGGGTATGCATGAGGCAGTGTGCAGCGCGCAACAGATTGTGTGCGAGCCCTGGCGGTGACACACCTTTGGAGGCCTCTGAGTTGCCCTGCGCACACAGAGGGCGGCAAATCCCCGGTGGCACATGCCGCTGCCTTCTTGTATAATGGCTACGATGGTAATGCGCGCAAGCAGAAGTGTACTACTAAACTTCAAAAATTTCCTCGGAAATTGGTGTGCGTTTAGAGCAAATTCTTCGGAACATGTTCTCCTAGCTTTGGTCCGAATACTTTGGTAGGGAGTAATCGTGGTCAGCCAGTAGACAGTCTGTAGTGCACAAATGTCGATGGATTCGTCGCACCCCCCAGCAAGGGTACTAGTTAGATGTCCAGACAGGTGTTTCGTGCCCGGTGCGCTACGCAGCTGCGAACTGCACTACCGGTGTTGATCGTCTGCATATGAGTCTGTCTACTAGCACGTCAAAGTTGATGAAATGGAGCGACTTCCTAGAAGCTATCCCACCACGCTGATAGTCTGGCACAGTCATGATAAGGAAGGTTGAATGGCGTGGATGCAATGAAGCTGCAAAAGAAGGTACTTAAAGACATCAAGCGCAGGAGCTACGAAAAGCATTATAACTAGTTGGATAAGTCCTTCGGAGGTTCATGGGTTCTGATAGTGTATCGATTCCTACGTCGACAAAAGTGAGTGGGCATGACTATGTTGTAAGTTGCAAAGAAGCAATCAGGGTTGAGCAACCAAACCAAATCAGAACTTCGGAAGGTGGGATATTAAACAGCTTTTAGACAACAAGTGTAGGAGACTTTGACTAACAAGGACATCGTCATAAAAACCTAAAAGGGATGCACCTCTTGACTGCAGGTAACATTTTTGCCGTTAATGGTGGTCAGCTCGCATTCGATGAGAGTTCTGGTGTGCCTTTGCCACACGCACAATCCTTTTCACTGTCAAACCAAACGCGGCTAAAGCAGCCCCTACTGTTGCCTCTTGACAAAAGTGCGCTCCCTTCGTCGTGGAATGCAGACTTTGCGCATTTGAGATGATTCAGCTCAGCAAGCTCAGCTTTGCATCGTAAATGATGGGTTTCAAGTAAGGTGGTCGAACATTCACACACTCGATGCGCGTGACTGAGGGTGACATGGGTAAGAGGTCATCTTGGCGCGTTAAAAGGGTGAAGTATGCGCAAGACAACCAAATAGTCAGCTTTGTACACGGCTACATAGTTCAAACACTCCGTCGTTAGCTCCGCCTGTTAGACAGTACTGGTGGAGGTTTAAAAATAGAAAGGATAACAACCAGAAACAAGTAGGATAGACTGTTTCGGTAAATTTAACCTAAAATCAGGGAGAAATCTTTGCCAGGGTCGTCACCTGGGAGGGGGTACTTGGATGACCTGCATGTCGCAAGCGTCTAGAAATTCCGGTAAATGATGAGTTCGTGATGAAACACGGATGGGTTGTAAACAGGGTCACATTTACCAGTATTTGGATTTACAGTCAACTTGGCGTTATCCGACGTGCTCAATTTCGAAATGGCATGACATCGGACCTGCTGACCAACCTAGAAAAATCACCTTACTGCTTCGGGTGCCTAGCCAGACATTCGCCAGTTTTTATTCCCATGGCAGTCTGTCTGAAAGTGCTAACCTTCGCAAAAACTAAATGTTTAAAATAGCCTCTCAGGAATGCAAAAGGTAGCCAGTGGCGTGCATTACAAGACTAGTGAACTACGTGCCCACCTTCAAAGTCTCATGAGCGGAAAAGCAAAGACCCTGATGTAACTTTGTAAACGTGGATGTACACATCATGGCTACCATGGGACTCAGTTCACTGAAGTATGCAGGTAGACGTCTCAGAGCACAGCGAAGTATGCGGATCAGGTTAGAGATCAAACAAGATACAAAAACGTGAGGACTGCTACTAAGATGAAATGGAAGAGGCGGTTCATGGCTGCTTTTACTGTCAGCAGAAAGCCGGGCTTTGAAGCGCGCCGGCTTACGCTACAAAATGTTGGCAAGGACGGTACAGTGAGTAAAAGGAAATGAGGCTATGGTGAACCTGAAAGATCTGCAAAAAATAAATATGCATAGATGTCCACCAAAAGTAGGGTGAAGTATAATAAGTAACAAGGCTCCAACCGATTGGTTAAAAGAAACATACTTTTGGCTAGTCCCTTGTGAGCGCTTTGGAGATACCGGAGGCCAGCGATGATTTCGCGTTGGACGTAAAAAGTGACTCTTACATTGTAAAACGAGCCTTCTGGTATTTCAATGGGAGTATCTCTTAACTTCTCCAAGTCACCTGGAAACGGGATAAATGAGCACCTTTAAATCAATAACTGGGCATGACAAACAGAAAGGGTAATCTTTTCAGAGCGAGTAGAGGTTAACTGCGGTCGGAATTCAGTAAAAAGAAAATGCGAAAAGACTATCGGAGCTGTCATTGAGTTCAATCAACTATGTCGGGAAGCGCAGATCTAATGCAGTGTGCAAAATATGACCGATTACTTAGGGTAGACGTGAAGGGGTCAAAAACGGCCAGATACACACACAGTATCAATAGCAAACTAGACAAACGGTCCTAAAACAAGATCAAATACAACCCTCTCCCCCCTTTTATGCAAAAGCCGCTCAACGACAAACTCTGGGAAAGGAGTATTATCAACTGAGTGGAGAAACCTCAGTGATATATTTAACACCGCAGACGTCGACAGTACGCTGCGCTTATGGTGTTTTGGAGGTAACCAACTAAAGAGTGCTGTGAAACATTTTGGACGTCGAAATGAATTTAAAGAAGTCTTGTGGAACAAACATACTTAAACAGGTTTATTGAAAAAAGCATTAAATGATGATAAAACTTAAATAGTACGTACAGTTCTTTAAGACTTTATTGAAGCACAATTGTTCCAAGGACAAATGCTTCTCGTATGACTATGACGTGGATTTACAATAAAGCCCGAAGGCAACATCACTAAAGCAGCCATGGACGTGACGCCTGCGCAGGCTAGCCCGAAAAGTGATTAAGAATTTACAAGCACTTCTGAATGCACTGCGCACATAAAGCCCGTTGGCAGTTAGGTCACTTGGTCACATGTTTAAATTGGAGGAAAATGCGCGATTACTCGAACAAAAAGGCTATTGACCGTCGACTGCAATCTATGGAGCTGTCTCCTAGAACTAACCTCCTTTAACGGTAACCCCTTGCCTTTTTCGTTATCAAAACTTGTGGACAACGAACTTTTCGTCCACTTGGATTCGGCTGTGTGCGCTGGCAGGTCGAACTAAGCTGTAAAGAGGCAGCCTCGTGTGAAGGATCAGATCCTACCTCTGGAACCTATGGGAACATCTCAAGTTAATTTTCTGTGGTTTCCGATGGTATCACCCGTTGGCCTACAGCTCTGGTGATCTACAGTCCGAGGCGGCATGACTGAATGGAGTTGCTAAATCCATCGGTTAATTCATAAAAGCTAGAAAGATAAAAGCGTTTCCCGGCTGCATCCCTGACCAGGTGAACGCAACCCTGGAAATGACGGTAGCCAACTTGAAGTAGGCAGCCTCAAATTCCTCGGGATGAGACAGAGCAAGGACGACATTATGTCCTGAATCGATGCTACCCGCAGGGTTTGCACAAGCCTTAGAAAGTGTCCATGGACTCGACGCGACACCTCTATCGTCAGGAAGGTCCGCGCGTACCGTACATCCGTCCGGTCAGTCCTCCACTACGATTGTAAACGGTGGACTGTGTGCGGTGATGAGAAAAAACTGGAATTAGTTGGCCACTGCCCTCTGAGGATCATCCTCTGGGTGAAATACACCGACTGGCCCTCCGAACTCGTTGCGACAACATGGCGAACATATGTCAGGTCACCTGAGGAAAACGACTGCGATGGTATAGGCCGGTTCTTTGTCGTCCGTCTCATAATCTCACTGCTGTTGTTTTCAGTCCGACGCCGTTGCTCACCTGGAAGCGTCGGAGAGGGGACCAAACTTAAACATGGCTCAACACAGCTCGCCAAGACTTGGTTCTAGGACATGCAAATATTCGGTATCCGTCGCCGGAGAAGTAAAATATGCTAAGCTCTCTCGATCCGCTGACGCATACGGCTAGGCCAGGAGAGGCATCGACATCAGCGCGGCCGACTAGATCAGGCATGATCACTGCCAACACAGGCTGTTACTGTTTCCTCGGGCAATTTAAATAACGCAAGCTACGCTTTTCTGCACTAAGCAACGCACGTTACTACTGCTTAGACCGTTTTTTCTAACATGACCTTGCAGTTTTTATCTGTTAATTGTGTGCAGCTTTCATCCACTCCTAATTACGGAGTGGCAGGAGGCAGCTAACGGACAGTCGGGAAGTAATTTTACGTCGGTCGATTCCATGCTTGGCAAAGTTAGCCTCATTTAAGTTTTGTGTACATAGCTGACAAATTTTAAAGAACACTTAAGTAGACAAGTTACGTATCCTTTATTGACCTAACACGACAGAATGTCTGAACGAATTCGGAAACGAACCCTTCACTCACAGTATGCAACCGAGAAATAAATAAGAACGACCACTGGGAACGTGAATGCGACTACAAACGCATAAATATGCAGTCAGCCATTTGTTGTAAGAGAAGGGAATTAAAAATTTAACCATCGAATGATGTGACCCCTTATATCCTAGCCATAACTGCAGAACAGCGTGGATCTTAACCAGTGCGCCTTAATGGCGATCCCCAATCTGTGTTTACGCATTGAAATGGTGCCAAGTCGCCAAACTACTCAAAGTTCCCATGGAAATGGGTATTATGCGCTTGGTATACGGCCTGAAACACAAAACGCAACAATTTGACACGGACCTCCTGAATCGGGACACGAGACGAAGTGCAAAAAATAGTAATCAAAAGCGTTCGTATACTCACCGTCTAGATCCAGCGAGATGGTTGGACCATCTTTTATGAGAACTTCAAGCTTTTTGACAATCAGGTGGCGATCGTCGTTAGGAACTGAAAAAGACGAATAATCAACAACTGAAACATACAAGGAGTGCTTTGAGTCACTGAACCCAGTAAGTTTTCCTTGTACCGTTTTAAGGCTTCGTCGTCAGCGTCTAATTTAACGAGTTCTTCAATCGTTTTCTTCTCAGGAGCTTTGTAAAGGTCGGGCTCCGGAGTCAAATCAGCATCATCACCAGATGGGGCGGCCATTGTTGTGGCTGTGAAACTTCAGGGTATAACGGATTAACGTGAGCCTGGTTAAGGCCTGCCGCAGAGATATTGGTGTGCGACTTACAGGTAAATTCATGCGCATTAGACTTCTTGTAGATTTTTCGCTGGAGTCGGCTCTAGTATTAAACGTAATACGGAAGATGTAGGACTAAGCTAATAACCTCGAGGGAAGCATTAGGGACAGGATAACTATAAAACGGATAAAGGCAAAAGCTCAAAATTGTTCCCGGGATTGTTAACTGTTGAAGACTGGTTTGAAAAAGGAAGAAAAGAGGGGACAGAACCCCTAACGGACTGATAAAACGTGGGAAATGGAGAACATTTAGTGATAAGGTAGACGTACTATAAAAATGTGTAGAATGGACGCCAAATCTTTATTTTACACACAGCTGAGCTGTAGGATTTCTGCGAACATGACGATGACGACCTCGGTTTCTGTCTTTTAGGGCGCATATTAACAAATCCAACGATGGCCCGTACCGCAGAGTGTCGATTTTGTCTTTGTCGGTAATATCATTCTGCCTATATATCATGCGCCGCTGCGCGGCTGCTGGTTGGGCTCGAGAGAGAGCCCTTAAGGCACAACGGAACGAGTGAGTTCCGTATGAACGATCGGTGAGCGCCCCCTAACATCATATATATTATATATTCAGTATATATATAAGGAAGATGGGTAGAGCCCTTCAAAACCCTATTTACAGACAAATTAAAAAATACGTGCACGTCTGTATTCAGATATGCGGTTCATTTTATCAGTCCTTATCAATTCAATATCCGGTCATCATATAAAATGTCAACAAGTCTTTGTTTAAATGTCCGAACACTTTCCGGCCTAAAAATCGAATTTAATGGTTTGTTCGCATCCTCAATCACCTGGTGATAGAAGAAGTTGGTACATATTTCAAATTTGGCGTTTTTTGTCGTCATTTTATATCGGGGACCTCGGAGATTTGTCGTTTGCGCTCTCTCAAAAAATTGGCCAAAATAAGTGTACAGTCTACTCCTATAGCACCTCGTGCTCTTGTACGGGTAGTAGGACCAACTTACGCAGATTACTCACTCCTAAGGATAAGGAACTGCTTTACTAAAGGCGCCATATAAATACCACTAATTTGCCGGGGCTCGATCAGCTTTTTAAAATGACCTAGACGATCTGGTTCATCATCATTTTTGAAAAGAGTATCTTTTTATATGTCGTTCATCTCATTAGTGATTTTGGGATTTCTATGGGGTTTGGGCGTTTTCTCTTCAGCTGTTACATGGTGGTGTATACATTTCTATGTATTATAACTGCAGTGCGCAGTGGCCTTCGTCCTCATATAGTTCTCCAGATAAACTTCTCATATGCGCACATCGTAGCAGATGCTAGTATTTGCAATGCGTTCGGGGACAACCTGTAGCACATTTGTGGATTGTAGTTGCTGCTTACGCCGATCAATTCGGAAAAATAAAACCACGAATTGTTTCTAAACGCTTTACACAAGTCCAGTCAACCCGTCAACTTGTCAGCCCCGTCCACCATCAACAAATCCACCACCACCTCCAACCCAACATGCCCTCAGTGCGACCGCACACATCCGCCTAGTCAGTCATTTACGAGTCCGTTGCACAGAGATTGACAAACCAGTGCTCGGAGCGCCCGCATTCATCGGCGCATTCGTCTCACTTGTCCTCACTGCTCCCGCACATTCACTCACCGCATGGGCCTATTCGGTCATATGAGTATCCACGACAGCGCAATTCACCGCAGTAAGAACACACTTTGCACATTTCGCACACGCGCCGTGTCCAGACCGATCAACATCCCATCGCCCAGAACGCTCACTACTAGCAGCTTTGTCGCCACCACCATCACTGAAACCAACTTTGCAGCTCCAGCTCTATCCTGTCCACACTCCCACCGCAAATTTACCTCACGCATCAAACTGGTCTGTCTTCATGTGACCACATGGAGACTGGCGAACCAGTACCTGCACTACCAGCATACACACACAGCAATTCCCTGCACCGTTCACACTTCTCGCTCTTAAAAGTGAAACCTATCCTACCTTGTGGAAGGAATCACACATTCTGCCCATTCCTAATCACGGCAAATCTACATCATTTGATGATTTTCGGCCAATAAACACCCTCCCCGCAGCTTCGAAGATCTTAGAGACATTGATCAAAGATAAAATGCTGTGTCACTTAACAGTGAATAACCTACTGAGTGCTGCTCAGCATGGATTCCTCAAAGCTCGATCTTGTGACACCTGTCAGCTCTCTTTATTTGACTATGTTCTCCAATCTAGGGACAATGGTTTTGCACTTTACACTGTATATTTCGATTTCACTAAGGCTTTTGATCGTGTTTACCATGCTCTTCTTCTCTTGAAACTGTCCTCTTTCGGAATAGGTGTCAAACTTTTTAATTTTATGTCCTCTTACCTGGGCACTCGTACACAACGAGTTAAGATTTTCAATACCATCTCCAACCCCACACGTGTGAGGAGTGGAGTCATTCAGGGTAGCGTACCCGGCCCGCTTTTATTTTGCCTTTTCGTTAATGATGTACCCGATTTATTTCAGAAAGATAAGCCTTTCATGTATGCCGATGATCTTAAAGTTGCATATCGATATAAGCTGGCGGATCGTTACATCGTGCTTGAGCTCCTAAAGAGCGATCTACAGGCTTTCGCCCAGTGGTGCCGCACATGGCGCCTTTCTCTTTCTTGGCATAAGTGCTCAGTCATGGTGGTTGGCGACGACCGCCAACCTCAACTAAGTATTGAAGGTCACGCCATAAATGTGCCTGGGGTTATTAAGGATCTGGGTATATCATACTCCAAGAGTCTCAATCTCTCGGAGCACTGTGCCTTGATAGTCTCCAAAGCACGTAGAACGACCGGGTTTATCCTCCGAAACTTCAAAACTAGGGACATTAGAATGCGCCTCTACAACATGTACGTTAGACCTGGCCTGAAACACTGTTCGTTTTTATTTAGCCTCATGCGTGCTACTGAGCGGAAGAAAATAGAATCCGTTCAACACGTTTTTACCAAGAGAATTTTTACCCTTGAACACCGTCATTTGTGTTACCAAGAACGTTGCCGGCTTACAAGCCTTGATCCTTTATGGTTCCGCAGATTACAAAAGGGACTATTTTTGCTATGTTAACTTATATAATCACACATTTAACCCACTCACTTCTTTAAGACATCATATTCACTCACGACGTAACAGTCACCGTGAGGTCTTCTTATTTCTGCCTCTGGCACGAACTGTTAAATATCGTCGGTTCTATTCTGTAAATGCAATTGCTATTTGGAATAAACTACCCATGAGTGTGAAAAATCTGCAAACTTATCCTTTATTTAAGAGAACTATTACTCGATTTTTGCATTCAGAAAAGCTCCGACAAATTTTGGGTGCTGAATCCACTGATCGACTCTACCGTAGCGATGGCGTTTGTGGTCTCTGAACACTATGGCCTGTCCCACCATGGACAATTTCGTTGGCCATCAGCGACAGCTGTTCCTCAACGCCTCTACTTTGACTATCTCCAACTTCATGAAAGGAATTGACGTCCGAT